CTGTAAAGGCTCAGTTCTTTAGAAACTCTTGCAGAACCAGGACGGTGACCCATGGCCAAAAAGGGCACACCCATGAGAACGGAACAAAGTTGGAAGGTTCTTGTGTAAAGATAAGTCAATGTTTACACGACGACAGTATAGTTCAAAGACATCGAGTCTACTAGACAGCCAGTAAATAAACGAGTCTTTACAGCGGAAGGTTCAAAGGATTAAACCTACCTCTCCGTATACAAGGATCATCCGGTGAACACAACGTGTCCTCCTATCTTCGTTTCTTTTTAAGTCTCGAAAATCAATTTTCATTCATGTGAGGGATTGTTGGAAAAATGTGTGAAAAATTGCATTAAATGGCTATTTTGGGGCAATTTTTTGAGTGGGGTCCCTTTCCGATTTGTGTCGGGTCAAAGTGGTTTCGGATTGTCCTTGCTTAGGGCTACAATTCGATATATGGTACGCTCAAATCGGATAACGGGTGAATGAGAAATTGTTTTTCGAAGTTTACCCGTTAGAAGGGAAAAAGGATGGGTTTCTAGAGTGTTAATTTCCCACACCGGAAAACCCAAGAGATTTGCAACCCCTTATAAAGGGACTCCCCCCTTAAGGAGTTAAGATTCCTAAGGGTAAAGGCTCTCTCCACGCGTGCAGGGGGAGTGCAAATCAAATCCCGAATTCGGAGAAGAAAAATCGCGACTTGCGTGCGCGGACACGAATGTCGTCCAAAAATCCTTCTCTCAAGAGATACGGATAATTTTTGTTTTCTTCCTGAAACGTAAATTTTTTCCTGGTTGACAGAATTGCCTAGCGGCAGAAATGCTCCAGCCAGAAGGCCTCGACCAGAACACCTCGGTATGGTGTTCTGGTGGCTCCAGTCAGAAGGCCTTGGCAGAACCCCTCTGTAGGGGTCTTCTGGTGGCTTCGGCCAGAACCCCTCTGTAGGGGTCTTTTGGTGGCCGCATAATAGAAACCCTCACAGGGTCTTCTGTTGGCCGCGAACAGAACCCCTTCCAGGGAGTTCTGTTGGGAGGTCTTCTGAACCGTTACAGCAATAAATGTCCAACGTTCTTATCTTTTAATGCAGCGTTAAATGGACAGTTCATGGACGATTCAATGCCCAACGGACTGGTCATTGATGTCCAACGTTGAGGTCCATTAATTCACCATTTACACACAACAAATCCTCCTATATAAAGGCTGGCAGGTGGTTTGCAACAAGACACGATTTTACACGAATTCATACACTACATGCACGTTTTGCACCTCTAAAACACACTGCTAGCAATCTGAAAATTCCCTCTGTGTTCATATTGTGTTCTCGTTCGCTGGAACTTTTGTTTGTGTGCTCAAACATTAGTTCGTAGTCATCGTATCCTCGGAAACGATTGTTGCAACGCTCCTAGCACCGTGGGAGGCAACAAATACGTTTTAAGGACATCGTGCGTAGCACGAGCTTTGACTAATTCTGCTTCATCTCCTTTCTTGTTTTTCTCTAGTCATTTTATTTTAATTAATTTATTTTAATTATTTTTCTTTATTTTCCGAAACACACCCAACAACGGATTCGTTCCCGTTGACGGGACTCCGGCGAACTCAAAGATGCAAGGATTTTTCGGATGAGTTAGAGGGGCGAATGAGAGAGTATTTGTTTATGGCAATCTTCTGATATCCCTTGTGCAGACTTCATTAGGTATTTATAGAGTTTTTGGCTAGGAAACTCTAACCCAAAAAGCACCTATTGAATGAAAGGTGGTGACCTTTCTTTCAATTTGAAGAGTCATGCCTCTCCTGCAAAGAGATTAATCCAAAAATGGAACAAAAATATATAGTCTTTTAAGAGGACTGTTTGACCGGTCCCGAACCCGACCCGACCAGAGCCAACCGACTTACGGCGGCGGTGTGAGCGGGTTAAATATAATTTCACGCTTATCTTTCGGGGAAAAATTTCTCATTCATTTCAGAATGGTTTTTCCAAATAATATTAATGACCATAATATTAATTTGTAAAACCATTTTTCCAACAATCCCCCCACATGAATGGGAAATTGGCTTAAAGACAGGAAACAGATTGGAATTTGACATGGGAAGATGGGAACTCTGCATAGGGTTAGGTAGTCGTGAAACTTTGAACCTATCTTAGTGTATATCCATCGGATTTACCGGCCAATCGGTGATCACTTCTGCCTTGAACTATCAACCTTAGCGTAAACCTAGACAATGAATAACACACAGAGCCCCGAGTGCATCTTTGGTTCTCACGTTTGTGTTCTTCGGCCTTGAACACCTCCTGGTTCAGCTAGTGTTTCAAGAGTATATCGTGCACCGGAGAATTTATCTCGTGCCATAGACTCATAGAAGCGGCCTTCTTCCACCAGCATAGGTGATCTCTATGGAAGGTATCATGTCATACCTTACTTGAACTTATCAAGATATAGAGATCATTAAAAGCGTAACTTACCCTAAGTGCTCATGACATGGGTGTACTATATCTTGGCTAGTACCGCCCGAGCCAGTCCACAGTTGTGTTTTCCCTTTGAACCTAATTATGAGGAACTCTCAATAATAGGTAGGGTTTTCCCATGGACTTTGTATTCGATCATTGGCCATAGGCCCATCGCTCTCCTTGACGTTTCGACCAACTCTCTCGGTAGAGGTTTGGTTAGCGGATCCGCAATATTTTCTTTCGACTTAACATAGACAAGAGAGATGATCGCATTTTTAATTAGTTTTCTAACGGTATTATGTCTACGACGGATGTGTCTAGATTTACCATTATAAACTGCATTCCTTGCCCTTCCAATTGCAGCTTGACTATCACAATGAATGGATATTGGAGGGACAGGCTTTTCCCAACAAGGAAGATCTTCCAAAAACTCTCTCAACCATTCACCTTCTTCTCCAGCCTTATCTAAGGCAATGAATTCAGCTTCCATGGTAGATCTTGCAATACATGTTTGTTTGGAAGATTTCCACGTCACAGCACCACTTCCAAGGGTAAACACATATCCACTTGTTGATTTTGTATCCTTGGAATCGGATATCCAATTTGCATCGGTATATCCCTCTAGCACGGCTGGATATTTTTGAAAATGTAAACCATAGTCTTTGGTGTACATCAAGTACCCAAGCAGCCTTATAAGCGCTTTCCAGTGTTCTCTACCGGGATTTATTGAAAATCGGCTTAGCTTATTCACAGCTTGATGAGCTGGGTCGTGTTCCATTCATGACATATGTCAAACATCCTATGACCCGAGGATAGTCATCTTGTGATACACTTTCTCCTCTGTTTTTACTGAGGTGAACGCTGGAATCAAAAGGAGTTCTCATGGGTTTGATATCATACTTCTTGAATCTCTCAAGCATTTTCTCAATGTAGTGTGATTGAGATAATATCAACCCTTCAGGTGTTCTGATGATTTTAATTCCTAGAATTACATCAGCAACACCGAGATCCTTCATTTCAAATTTCCTGGCCAACATACTTTTGGTAGCCTTTATCAAATTACTATTACTACCAAAAATGAGCATATCATCTACGTATAGACAGACTATGACGTAGTCAATTTGATTGCCTTTCATGTACACGCATTTGTCGGCCTCGTTGATCTTAAATCCATTTGACAGCATTACACGGTCAAATTTATCATACCATTATTTGGGGGCTTGCTTTAACCCATAAAGAGATTTTACTAAGCGACAAACCTTTCTTTCTTTTCCGGGGACAATAAAACCTTCAGGTTGTTGCATATAAATCTCTTCTTCTAAGTCACCGTTCTAGAATGCAGTTTTTACATCCATTTGATGGATTTCCAAACCCTTCAATGCAGCTATTGCCAATAACATTCGAATTGAAGTTATTCTTGTAACTGGTGAATAAACATCAAAGTAATCAAACTCCCCTTTTTGGTTGTATCCTTTGGCAACCAATCGAGCTTTGTATTTCTCAATTGTTCCATTAGTTGAGAAATGATGAAATGATGGAATCAATTCCATCAGTTGAGAAGTAATCTATTTCACTTTCTCAATCGAGATCCATTTACATCTTAGAGGTTTAGATCCAGGAGGCAAATCTACCACTTTCCAAACGTGGTTAGACATGATGGAATCAATTTCACTTTTGATAGTCTCTTGCCATTGTGCAGCGTCTGGTGAAGACATGGCTTCTTTATAAGTTTGAGGCTCATTATCTAATAGGTACACAACAAAATCGGGTCCAAAATTCTTAGATTTTCTAGCCCTTTTGTTGCGTCCCATTTCACATTCTTCCGCCACTTCATTATTATCATTTATAGAATCAAAAGATCGCTTATGTGAATTGGTTTCTTCAACATGGGTTGGAATGAAAACATCCATGTCGGAGGAGACAACTTCACAATCTCCCTTAAAAGGAAATACATTCTCAAAGAATGTAGCATCTCTAGATTCTATAAAAGTATTGTCCACGACGTCATCATAATATGATTTGTGGACAAGGAAACGATATGCACTACTCCCTCCGTCCCTTATAACTTTGCCAACTTTCCTTTTTTGGTTGTCTCAGAAACTTTGCCACTTTCTATTTTAATCAATCAATTTGTGGCTCATGTTATTTCTCTCTCCTCTGCACAAATCTCTACCATACAGTTTTTACTTTATTATTCTACGTGCCGGTCAAACATGGCAAACCTTTAAGGGACGGAGGGAGTACTATTTTGTGCATATCCAACAAAGACACAATCAATGGTCTTTGGTCCAAGCTTAGTTCTTTTAGGTTTAGGAATAGCTACTTTCGCTAGACATCCCCACACCCTCAAGTAATTGAAACTTGGTTTTTTCTCTATCCATAACTCATATGGAATCTTGTGTGTTTTCTTGTGGGGCATTCTATTTAGAAAGTAGTTGGCGGCTAAGACAGCATCCCCCAGAACCGAATCATTAACAATGTATGAGTGTATATGACTCATGCGTAGGAATCGAACCGAACCAGATTTTAACGGTTCGGTTTCAACGTTTTCCAATTGGTTGTTCAAAAGTCCCACCCCTAGTTATGCTAATCCTAGGCAGACAAATTGGCACTGTTGAAAATAATTCTGGTTAAGGTGAGCAAATAATACTCCGGCAATCCGCTCCCGGCGTCTCCTCTCACTTGCTCGCTTTAACATGGATTCGCCCTCATCCTGGGATTCCCTGCGAAAGCAGGTATGGGTTTTGTTTACGGTTGTTTTGATGTTAAAACCAAGCTACTTTGTTTCAAATTGGAAGGATGTCTGCATTTATCGCCGTGATTTTTCCTCCAAATTATGCATTCGCATGTAAATGGGATGGATTGTTTCGGTTTTCCGAATTCGTAGTACAATAAAAATTTAGACACCTAAATGTTCTGCAAATGAATTATCGCGTTTGAATGGGTTGACAAATCACTTTTGGAGATGGAGAGTAATTGAGGTGAAGGCCGTGTTGTCACTGTTATGGCTTTCTGGTAGGAACATATCGATGCATCATATTATGGTTTAGAATCTTAAACTTGAGAAGTTAGATGTTAATCAATGAAAACGTCCGAATTACTTGATCTGTTATACAGTTATACGTAATGTGATGCACCTGAAAGTTATCAGGTTTTACTCCGACTAAATTCATAATTACTGGATATATGACTGTTAGACCCTAGTTTCTTTTGCAATGGGCAATGGCAAAGCCCAAATAAGGAGAAAGGAATAATCTTTTTTTAGAGATTACTCTCTCTTTAACACTATCATTTCCCTTTTTTTTGCCTGTCCCATTAAGTTTGATCATACTGTATTTGATAATATATGTTTGGATCAAATTTATTCTTACTTTACAAATTGAATATGTGTGTCACTTCTTCAATTCTCTGGAACGAGTCTAGGATTTTTTTTTGTTTCGCTCAATTTCCAGTTTCTCACTACTAAAATGTATGGGTATGATTAAGATACTAAAATGTACCTCCTCTGGTTCACAATAATTAGTCTTTTGTAAGAAAGAATAGACCCTAAGAAGTTATTAAATGGCGATTAGCTTTATTTATTACCCCTACTAACTTTTACTCATTATTGAAGATTAGTTTTGCATAAGAGTCTTAAAGATGGGCCAAATGACACTTATTGTGAACCAAAGTGAGTATCAAATAAAGAAAATCTGCTTCAGAAAATATCTTCTTCTTAAAGGAAACTTTTCAACCCTGCAGTCCCTTCTCTACCATTTGTGTACAGTTACTTATAAATGATACTCCGTAAAACCTAAAGTGGTCGGTATCTTTGGCTCTCTGCAATTCCAATCTATATGTGTAACTACCAAATACAGATTTTTATCACTAGTTTTTTAGTACTCTCTATTGACTAGAGGAAATGACTTTTGAATTTGAGGATGTCATATTGTGAATTATAATTCTTTCATTTTCTATCAAACTTATTCTATTACAGAGTATATCTTAATCTTCACCATATCACTTGGGTTACTTTTCAAAAGATCTTGAACTCCTGTAAGCTCCAAATGGTGGAACGTTATTTTCCTACGGGAAAATAAAGTATGATGAGATCTGATACACAAGGCATTGTGCTTTGACTCAATGCTTGATTTCTTTAAAAATTGTTTAGGAAGATATTTAGTTAAACAGAAGTGAAGTTGATTCATTCCAAAATGTCAAAGTAAAAGATCTAGATGAAAGCACAAATTACTGTAGCAAGGAAAATTGCTTAGTTAGTGCAAGTGCGCGAGTCTGTGTGGGATTAACTAGGTTTATTTGATTTAGTTAAGACTGTTTAGTGTAATTGGGTGACTGTATGTGTTCCATGTTGTACTACGTTCTGAAATGTAGATTAGGTTGTGATTTCAATTTTTCAGTACTAATATCTTGGTACGTAAGCAATGAGCATAATGTTTCACAATTTCTGATCTCGTGCTTGACGGTGTCTTTTAATATGCAACAGGCAAGGAAACTTGAAGCACAGCTCGATGAACAGATGCATTTATACCGTAGATTAGTGAGCAAAAAAGTTGACGGTTCCAATGATAACAATCTTGAAAAGGGAATAGACCAGCTGCTTAAAGATCTACAACAAGTCAATTCTCAAATGCAAGATTGGGTTTCATCTGGAGGAGCTGAAATATTTTCTCACACATTAACTCGCCACCAAGAGATCCTTCAGGATCTTACTCAGGTATATTTGAAGGATGCAGTAAAATTCCAAACTTTTGCTCCTAATTGAGTAGTTTTGTATTGTAGTGTAATGATAGCTCATAGTTTAATATGTGGCTGGAGACCTTGCTGAGAAGATGTATATTGCAGTTTTTGGGTAGTGCAGAGATTCTAGAAGAATATAATAGGAATCGATCTCACAAAATATCCTACATGGCATCATAATGATTGTCTGAACCTTCTCCTTTGACATATAAACTGGCACATACCTAGATGAATACTCTGAAATTGTATAGAACCTTTAAATAATGTAACTGGACAAAAGCATTGGTGTATCCTTGATGGTCTAGTTTAGCTTCATTAAAAAAGAAGCCTATCTGAAGTTTTATGTGCAACCATTTTGTCAAATGTCGCTAATTTTTTGATCAGTTTTTTTAATCGTGATTCATGAATTGATTTATATGGTCAATTTAAAAATAATATAAATAAAGATCCAAGATAGTAAATTTGAAAACTATTATTCAAATACCATCATAAGTCACCTAAGCCACATCTCGTACTTTTCCATTTGTAATAAAAGTATGTGTGCATATATAAGTATATATATAAATTTATATACAAATATATAGCTTGCATCTTGATTCTTGAATTGCATCGTATGATATGTATCATGAATAGTACGATACTGGTAATTTTGTGTGTGTGACAGCTAAAGGGGAAGCTATCCCCCACTTCTTTCATATTAAGTTTTTTTACTAGTGGACTGAATGTAAATGCACAATGCCCTTCGACAAATTGATGTTATTATCATCTCTTGAGTAAGAACTGTTTTTAAAAATCACAAAACTGTTGTGGTTAAGGGACTTACTTCTTTCTTTAAAAGGGGGCTATACAGCCTTTCCCAAGTCTGGTTCTTGATTTGAATATGGTCAAGATTATAGTGAAATTACTTTATAAGAACAAGTTCTTTTAGATGGTATGTAGGAGATATCCTTCCTTTTCTTTGCACACACTCATCTTTGATTTTTAGTAATTTATCATTCCCACCTGCTGAAAGACACCTTTTTTATTTGTACAGTCTTTGTTTACGTTTATCAATCTCTTATTTTTTCAGTGGCTAGAGCTAAGTGTTGAGTTGTTTATAGGAATTTAAACGTCTTCGTTCCAGCTACAAAGCCAAGAAAGAACATGCCTCATTACTTGATGAATTTAGGGAATTTGATCGGACAAGATTAGATCTGGAAGATGGTGGTGACTCTTATGATCACGCACTCCTGAATGAACATGCTTCCATTCATAGGAGTACTGGGCAGGTAGTCATATATCACAACTTAAACTTTTCTTTCAACTTTTTCCGTTTTTTGTCATTTGCAAATGGCATCTTTTACCATCTGGGTTTACTTTTGAGCATCAGTATCATATAACCATAATCCCTTGGTTCTATACTGTATCTTTTGACATTGACTCTTTCTGCTATAAATGTTCAGTAGGAAAGTAACAGACAGTAGAGAAGAAAAATACCTTTCTCTCTGGTTGTCAAGCATAAGAAGGGCCTGTTTATCTGGCTGAAATGTTATAGTCTGGTCTAGTCTGTTTAAGTCTATTTTGTTATGGTATGATATTATGTCTAGTCTGGTCTAGTTTGGGATTGAAATAAGTCCAAGACAATAGGTCCTAAATCATGTCTCCCCTTGTTACAAATGAGAATTTCTTAATTTATAATTTGTTGGAATCTGGGAAAAGACGTTTTAATATGGGAAGAAATGTGGGTATGGGGGTGTCGAGGTAATTTGTTATAACTTTGATTCTCTAGTTCAAGTAAGCTTGTGTTATATGCACTAAGATATGAGGTGTGGCCATGATATCAGAGTTCATTTTATATTTCACTTTGCTAGCAATTGGCCAATGGTTAGCCTGTCATGTGATGAACTTTGTATCTTGCTTGTTGTTAATCAAGTGGCGGACTAAAGGTTGTATTGCTGCAGATGGATGGTGTGATTTCTCAAGCACAAGAAGCTTTCAAGACACTTGTGTCTCAACGATCAACATTTGGAGGCATTAATTCAAAGCTCAGCAATGTTACCAGTCGACTTCCGACAGTAAGCATCCGTTTGTTTCATGACACCGCATCATACCTTTAATGGAGTATCCTGCATAATTGCATTACTGGACACCATAGGTTTGAATGTGGATACTCTGTTTATCTAGCTGAAAACATGACTTCTACTGCATAGTGGCATAGTTCTAGTCTGGTTCAGGTACTGGGTCACCTAAAGGGGGAATGAGAACCTTTACTTGGTATACCAATTCTTGTTTTTTCGCCTTAACAATGGAACCATCTCAGTTCAGTCATACTTTGGAGGAAAGGAACCGGAATGAGGTTAGAATGAATCCCAGAACCTATTCCGGCAGGGTAGTGAAAAAAAAAAGACAGTCTGTCAGGTTTTCCCCAAACCAGTCCCAATCCAGACCGGGGCCTGAACTGGGTTCAAGCCCACCCCTTCTAGTGTATATATTACACTCTTTAAATGGAATTAATACGGGCAAATGCTGTGATCCAGCTGAAATCACTCATGCAATTCACATCATTCACTTTCAGTATCAATTGTTACTTGAGCCTACTTCTTGTTTCAGGTTAATCATATTCTTTCGTCAATAAAGAAAAGAAAGTCCATGGACACTATTGTCCTCTTGCTAGTTGCGTCTATGTGCATATTTCTTATCCTGGTCTACTGGTTGACGAAATGAAAAGTCGGCAGTTTTCTAAAACGAGAGCACCCCTGGATCAGATGTATGATTTGTATATTCGTAGTCACAGAATTTAGAATTCCTGCCCCCACCCATTTTTATTTAATTGATGTATGTGGAACAGTGGAAGATGGAGCGTATTTACTACTCGTATGATGTATAGATGAAAGGATGTATTTGAATTTTGAAAGATGCAGAAAGAAACGTGAACAATGGACTAGGGATTCATAGGAACTTAATATCGTGTTACAATTTTGATTGGATGGAAATTCTATTTTCTGTGTGGTAATGTTTGGTTAAGCAACAGCTCCTAAATGAACTTCTGTTGTCGTTAGATTTTAAGAGAGTACACGCTACTTATAATATTCAACATTACGCGTCCGATTGAAGGCACAAGAAAGTTGTAATAGAACATTGAACATGAATAATATTAATCATCGTCATCATCATCATGAGTTCATGACATCAATAAGCATATTACATCAGTAACTATATAAAAAAAAAAAGTAAACAAAAACAAGAACTTAATGAGAAGAGTGGAAGCAAATGTAAAGCAGAATAGCAGCAGAAATAAATGAGTTACAGTTTGCTCATATCACCAAATTTTGTCCTAGTCCTTCCATGAGTCCATCTCATGTCTCCTGTGAATCCGTGATGAAGCGGTCATGATTTGTCTCATATTTGTGCACTTTTATTCCGGTGCTTGGCAATGTGGCGTCTGCATTTAAGGCTTAGCTGATGGTCTGATGCTGATGTTGTGGATCCATATGTTTAGAGAGATTGAGATGAAGAAATGACAATTCAACCTAAGCAAACATAACCTCTGCACTTGATGGTGAGAACTTAGACAGCGGAGAAGGCGACTCCACAACCTCCCATTCCACATAAAACTTCGGGCTGCAGCTCTTCCCCAGCGCCTTCCGTTTAACAGTTCCAATGGCAATGTCAAGATATTTGGCCACAACAATGATCTGGTCATTGCAGCAGCTCACACGGAACGGACCACTCATCTCCAACTCTGTTCCTTCCACCTCCTCCCACTCATCTTTCTCTTCCTCATACACCTTCACCATCTGCTTGTTCCCTTTCTCATAGCACTCTGAAACCAGAAATAACCGACCTTCAATCACAACACTTAGACCCCTCCAACCCGTTCTCATCCCGTACGGCATATCCTCCCAGGAATTTGCTCGCGGGTCATATACTTGACCGCTCGGCATGATCCCGAAGAGCGCTGACCAACACCAACTCTCTACCACATAAAATTTCCCATCAAGAACCACTGCATCATACGACGCAATGTCTTCTTCCATACTAGCAACACATTGCCATTTTCCATTACTAGGATCCATGACCTCCGTTGACTTGACTTTGAAAAGCCCCGTGCTGTTCCCTCCCGCGATATAAATCTTCCCGTCGATGACTCCTGATCCAAAGTAAGACCTTGAAGTGATCATTCTCGTGATCCGCTTCCAACTGTTGCTACGCACCTCATACTTGTACGTTTGACCTATCGGGTGATCTTTGTTCGAAAGAGTACCGCCACAAAGATAAATGACACCTTCATGCGGTAAGGCGACGCTGCGAAACCCGTGGGGGCTGACGTTGGACGTGTAGGGCAAATCGGAGAGGGTTAGCCATGCAAAGTTTGTGAGATCGCAAGCCATTAAACGTAACTTCTGGGTGGATTCATTATAGGCAAAGACAAAAAGCCATGGATGGAAAAATGAGAGCTCCTTTCTCCTGGCAAAGTATTGTCCTGTTTTGTTGCTGAACAGATCATACCATTCTCTACAGACACCTTTTAGAACTGCATGGTTATCAACTGGGACCCGAAGAAGACAGTTGAGAGCTACACTATCTGGAAGTCCAGGGATAAGAGGCTGTAATGATTGTTCTGTGAAGGTCATTTTGGGAATTAAAAGAATATAAACCCGGCCGGAATGGTCTAGGAGTTTGAATACTACGTATATTGGTAGCCAGGCCTGGGTTTAAATAGAACAGAAATTAGCATTATTTAGTCAGCAACGGCCAGAAAAGGCAAATAAATCTCTATGCGTTGGCTGGCAGCTGGCAATTTAAGGTTCGCTTAACCAAGATAATTTTTTTTTTTAAATTACCATTTTCTGAATTTGCCATAAACCCCAAGAGTGAAGTAAATGATTATTTGTTATCAGATTTAATTTGTGCCTTTATTTGACTTAGATTTATTTCAAGATTTTGTAAATTGTAAGCATATATTGCACACGGTTATGCCAGGTAATTATGAGTACGTAGCAATAAATAATTCAATTCGAAAGTCTTGATAGTATATTGCTAGAAGTGAACTGTTAGTGTATTCTTATTTAGTTTCAACCGTTCACTTTCTCACTTCCATGGTTTATATATTAAAAAGAAAATGTTAGAGAACTTTCGCAATAGGCTAGGAGTAGAACATGTTTTAAGTGTAAAAATAGAAGTGAATGTTTAAGAATATCTAAATAGGAGTCATGATTTACCGTTGGACAAAAACACATTGGTGGTCAAGGTTGCTGCTATTGCCTATGGATTTCCTAATTAAGTAGGGTTGGGGAAATTAATTAATTATATTAAGGGTAGAAAGGTAATGTTTAGGCCTATTTAAGGAATATACAACACAACATGAATTTGTGAATTTTAATCATGTTTTAGTGTTATTTAGGGCAATTTCTAAAAGATATTGATTTCTCTTGAAGTTTGATGTATTCACTCAGCCCTTGTACACTATTAAAAATATCTTCGATCCCTCATATCCTTTAATGGAGGTTACATAAAGTCTAAACTATTTTGAAAGTATAAAAAATATCCTTTAAATTTTAGAACTATTGTTGCTATACTTTTCACTTCAAAATTCGATCTTTATTTTCACATGGAATTCATCCACCAACACATGGTTTAGATATAGTATGAATATTCTAAAAAGTTTAAATGAACTTTATTTAGAAATTAGAGTGCTAGTTAGTTAAACTTTTGACATATTTATAAGTTCAGAAGTCCAATATCTACTTTAAATTCGTTCTTACGAATGCTTATTTCTGTGGTTCATATTTAGGCATTTTCATATTTGACAAAATTTATACGAATAATTCATACTTCTAATGATTCAACAATAATAATCCCTTGGTACTTTAAGTATTCTTAAAAAAAAATAAACTAACAATGGTGTTCACATGAATAAATTGTGATCAATCCAAACTAATTCATGTTTAATCTTAACTTCAATCCAATCTCTTCTTTTCTTGTATTTCCTGAGCTACGCAATTTTCCTTTCTTCATTAAACTTTCATCCTTTTCAGGTCATGAATCTTGCTAAACCTCTTAATCGCATTGGGGATTCCAGCAATAGCAAGATTTTGACAAATTCAAAATATATTCAAATTCTTATGTGCTCAAACAGTGTTTTAAATAGATCAAAGGCATACGATAGTATATTTTAAAATCTTACTCGCTATGTCACCTTAAGGGTATGTTGAAAGATGTTACACATACGGATCCAAATACCTAAGAAAATTATAGGAATGCATTACACACATACACACATATATAGGAGATAGGACACCAAAAAAATCTGGACACCATAGAGTGTATGTATATATTTATATGGAGGAAAGTGTCGGTTTAGTACCTCAAATTGTAAGCTGGAGAGTAAAGAGTACATCATTTTGAAAGTGTGTTTGAGAGGTACATGAAATCGCTAAATCAGTGTTAATTGAGTCCATCTGTGTATTAGAACATTTAAAACGCCTAGGTGGCAAATAGATTAGGGATAGGGTAAAATAAAAGCCACCTCATCATCCCTGTTGCAAAACATTCGGCCCCCCTCCATACCCTGGAACTGACCAGCCAACCAAACCTCCCATCTACTACTGACAGGCATAGAGGCGAGACAGAGTCGTCACTCGGCCAGAGGGGGTGTGCCGCCGCCGCGGGTGTTGCCGTAGGAGTGAGAGGCGAAGAACAAGTCGCTGGCCCCTTCTGCCGTCCAACCTTGTCGGTCCATGTGTATGGACTTCGTCTGCTCGTATCACTGGGCGGTCTTCTAAATCACAGAGGCTGCATCGGACTTCCGTCGGCTTGGCTGGGGATTCACGACCCGACCGACGGGATGCTGCACTTCCAGCCTTGGAACCCGTCTCTGCCCAGAGCTGGCCGCCGGCCTGGGAAGCCATCTCCACCTGGAAGCCGCCGACATCTCCTGGATCTGTCTCCTTGAAGCCGCCGGAGACATCTCAGGCAGCGGCGCCGCTGCCTGGAACATATCGCCGCCTGGAAGCCATCATCCACTGGGGCCGCCGCGACCTGAGGCCGACCTATTGCTCATCGGACAAGGAAGGTGCCGGCCTGGAGAGAAGACGTCAGCCTGATGCCGACCTCGAGGTTGCCGTCGCCCCGCACCTGCGTAGGAGTGACGACCTGGAGTAGCGCTGGCCAGGGAGTTCGGCCATGAGACCGTCGACGAACCACAGATCAGAGCCCGCAACCTACGAAGGAGATCCGCCTGACCTGGAGCTTGTCAGTCAACATGAGGATCGTCGGTCAACCATAGGCATGCGGCTCCAGGGTTGCACTCCAAACGGACGGTATGCGGCTCAACCATAAGTATGCCCTATCACTAATCCGTTTGCCACCTAGGCGTTTTAAGTGCTCTAATACACAGATGGACTCAATTAGCACTGATTTAGCTATTTCATGTACCTCTCAAACACACTTGCAAAATGATGTACTCTTTACTCCTCTGCTTACAATTTGATGTACTACATCGACACATTTCTCTATTTATATGTTGTAATTAGGATTGTGAAGCATCATCCCATTTTCAAACCAACGTATGATAAGGATAAAATGCTATTAAAAGGGGGAGAAGTGTGTGAGTAGGTAGGTGGGAAGTAGCAAATAGAAGGTAATGGACGACTAAGGGAAGTTTCATTTGATATAATTTTATAGACATTATCATGAGTTAAAGATTATTTTTATCATATCTCGAGTATGAATTACACGTCATCATTGTTATGATAATCACATTCCAAGTGAGAATAGAGAAGAATTCCTTAAGTGAAAATTAGGAGTGGTCATCCGTTCGCTTTTGGTTTTGTTGTTTCGGTTTTTCATGGTCAATTTAAAATTGATGAAGCTGAGAACCAAACTATAATACTTCCATTGATTTTGACTCAATTAATTTTAATCAGTTTTAGGATGTTTCCGTCGATTTTATCGGTTTGATCAATTTTCAAATTCAAAGCTATAAACTATAAAACGGACTGCCTAGAATTG